CAAATGATTTTGAGTTTTGTTCTATATTGTTCTCCCACTCTATCCAGGATCTCCTACATAGATCCCCATCTGAGTGGTTGACAGTAGTAGCTGGGCACCATCTATTTCTTCTGGTGTCATAGTCACATAGGCTAAAGATTGCATGGTGTACCAGTTGCTTAGACTAATTGTTTCCATGAATCTTTGGTTTTCTTCATTCTTCTTTGCTCTGGACGAGGAGAGACCCATCGTTGCATCTAGAGGGCAGCTTGCTAGCTTTTAAGATCCCAATCGCTATTTGCCAAGGTAGGAGGTGGAACAATGTTTTGTGTAGTATGTTATGCCAATTGAACTTGATGTCCCCTGTGACTATGGTCCCGAGCCCACAGGTCCAACTACTTGCTCCCTCTGGGTAGTTGGCTGTGGCCAAGAAGTAACTACAACCTTGTCCTTTGTCAGCTCTACTATACACCTGGGAATTCTTACAGAACATACAAATACACTTACAGAACCATTGTCCGCCAGCCCTCTACATGGTCATGGGCACACTTCCCCCTGCATTGACGTACCTAGTCGTTCAGCCTGTCCAACCATCTATCCACCAGTATACCCATGTTTGCCTTCACTGACAACGTAGTACTGTATGTGCAAAAGGGTTCATCTTTGTTGTTTGACCTCCCATGTACCTGTCTATGTCTTCCTCTTCCTCAGAGCCACCATGTTGATCACTCACATTTGCTACATTGGCCTTCTCTTCCCCCAAATCAGTACTTGTCTCTACCTAACAGTGTTCCCTTCACTCTCCTACCATCCCTGGTAACCAACAAAGAAAATTGTTCGGTATATAAACCTTTCCTTGACTGTTTACAGTGATGGACTAATACAATATTTGTCCTTCTGTGATTGACTTTTTTCACTCAGCATAATTTCCTCCCAAGTTGTTCCATGTTACGCAGTGTTTTGCAGATTCTACATTATTTTTTAGGGTTGCATAGTATTCCATTGTGTGTATGTCTCATAGTTTGGCTATCCATTCTTTAGCTGATGAATACCTAGGTTGTTACCATTGTTGTAAATACTGCTGCAGTGAACATGGGTGTGCATATGTTTGTTCTTGTCATGGTTCTCACTTCTTTAGGATATACCTAGCAATGGAATGGCTGGGTCAAATGGTGTTTCTAATTCCAGCTTTTTAAGGAATCGCCATTCTGCATTCCACAGTGGTTGTACTATTTTACAGTCCCACCAGCAGTGTTTGAGAGTCCCAGTCTCTCCGCATCCTCGCAAGCATTTGTTGTTTTCTGTCTTGTTGAATTTTGTTACTAGTGCTGGGGCAAGATGGTATCTCGTTCTGATTTGCAACTCTTTAATGGCTAATGATGGTGAGCATTTCTTAATATGTTTGTTGACCTCCTGAATATCCTCTGTGGTGAAGTGTCTATTCATGTCTTCTGCCCATTTTTTTAATTGGTTTATTTGTCTTTGTGTTGTTGAGGTGTTGGAGTTTTCTATAAATTTTAGAGATAAGTCCCTTGTCAGATATGCCATTGCTGAATATTTTTTCCCAATCTGTAGGTTTTCTTTTGACTCTTTTGGAGAAGTCTTTGGAAGCACATAAAAATTTAGTTTTTAGAAGGTCCTATTCATCTAGTTTGTTTTCAGCAGTTTGTGCGTTTTGAATTACACTCGATAGTCTGTTTATGCCATATATTGTTGTTATGTGCTGCAGAGTTGGACCTGACTCATAGCGACCACTCCTTGGGTTTCTGAGGGGGTATCACTATGGAAGTAGATTGCCCAGTCTTCCTTCTGAGGAGTGGCTGGTGTGTGAACCACCAGCCTTCTGGTTAGGCATTTGACTAAACTCACGACCAGAGCTCCTGTGCCCCTAAATTTGCCCCTAGTTTTTCCTTGAGGAACTTTATAGTTTTAGGTTTCACATTTAAGTCTTTGATCCATCTGTAGTTAGTTTTTGTGTATGGTATGAGGTACAGATCTTGTTTAATTTTTATGCAAATGGATATCCAGTTTTGCCGGCACCATTTATTAAACAAATGTTCACTTCCCCATTCAATGAATTTCAACCCTTTGTCAAAGATCAGCTGACCATAGGTTGAAGGCTCTATTTCTGGGTTCTCAATTCTATTCCATTGGTCTATGTGTCTGTCATTATACTGATACCAGGAAGTTTTGACTAATGTGGCTGTATAGTAGCTTTTGAGATCTGGCAATGTAAGACCTCTTACTTTGTTCTTCTTCTTGAGTGGTGGTGTTGTTATGTGCCATTGAGTCAGACCCGACTCATAGCGACCCAGTGCTTTGCTTATCCAAGGTCTCTTTCCTTTCCATATAAAGTTAGTGATTGGTTTTTCCATATCCTTAAAAATATGTTGGTAGGATCTGGATTGGGATTGCATTGAATGCATAGATTACTTTGGGTAGAATTGACATTTTCACAGTGTTCAATCTTCCTATCCATGAGCATGGTATATTCTTCCATTTATGTAGATCTCCTATGGTTTCTTGGAGTAGTTATTTGTATTTTTCTTTGTAGAGGTCTTTTGTGTCCCTGGTAAGATTTATTTCCAAATATTTTATTTTTTTGGTAGCTATTGTAAATGGTATTGATTTCCTTATTTCTTTTTCAGCAATCTCTCTGTTGGTGTAGAAGATTCCAACTGATTTTTGGATATTGATCTTGTATCCTACCACTATGTTAAATCTTTCAATTAGTTCCAGTAGATTTTTGACTGAGTCTCTTGGATTTTCTAGGTATAGGATCATATCATCAGCAAATAGGGATAGTTTGACTTCTTCCTTACCAA